CCAGAGAACACAACAGTTCAACTTTTTCACAATCACATTTAGCGCTGCATTCCTTTTTAAAGTTGCAAAAAATTATGTTCAGCAGTTTTTCCGGCGCAGGTGGGAGTAGAGTCTGAATAGGTGGGAGTAAAGTCTGAATAGGTTCTAATGCATTGTCGACCAACTTCCAACCCCAGTCTTTTGGGTCTAGCTGATAACCAAGCCACACTTAAACTTGGTAATATACCTGGAGAAGATGTTGATGAGCAGCAACTGAGGTTGGAGGAAGAGAAGCTAAATGCACCTGTTTCTTATTTTTAGTGTTTTTTACGAAACATACATATCGATACTTATCTAAGCAGATGGTTTTTTCCGGAGCTTTGAACATAGAAAGAAGAAACTGAATCCCGTTGGTGATAATTTTTTCTTGAGTGGAATTACTTTTTTTGAAAACTTCAGCACATTGAACTGAATCTTGTTTTTCAAACGTTTTCAAGACTGTTGGCTTTACCCCTCCTGTAAAATGCAGACGTCGTATCACAGCCAGTTATTGCGTGTAAAAATAGTACATGATTTTGACTCTTTGCAAAAGTAGATGAAATTTTTGACGAAAATATTTCGGTTTGACTTTGAACTTTTCCTGGCTTTGAAAAGAAAATAGTTTTTTCAGGTGGACTTCGAGCAGTAAGAAGTACGAGTAAGTCCACATCTTCACCAACAACAATAGTTGTATTTGTCAAATTGAATTGCTCTATAGCTGTTTCAATAATCAGTACGTCGGCATCGTTATCAGCCTGTTTAACCAATATATTTTCGCCAATATACTTATCATTCACGACGTTGTTCTGCAGCTTTATTATTTCTCGTGCAATCATCATAGCCATCAAATACGACTGTAATTCTGGCACCAAAATGTCTACGTACATACTGAACGTATTTATCTAAAATAATGCTGAATGTTTCTTCACTATCCCACACAACACGATGTAGTAAGTATCCACCGTCAATGATGTATGTCGTATTAGTATTGTTAATTTCAATATTGACCTGTTGGAAACAATCGTAAATGGCAGCAGAAACGGTGGCTCTAAGAAAAAAAATATTGAAACATTTTTTGTAGAGAATTTTATGATCTACATTATTTTTTTTTTGGTTATTTCATGATAAAACCCACCGTTTTCCTGAAAATCGCGAAAAAACAGGTTTTTTCGATATTTTTGACTTTTGACCCCGAATAAATTTTTTTCCAGGCATCGCAATCATTCATGTAACTTCACTCTTATTTTTTAGTCTAATTTGACCGGACTATAGTGTATCAGGAGTTCTTGCCAAATGGTCGTACGGTCAATAAAGAGTAGTATCTTCAAATTATGCACCGCTTGCGGAAAGCAATGCGAAGAAATAATACACCCGCTCACTCCTCATTCGATCGTAACTGTTTGGCCAAAAACAACAGTGTAATCAAGCCCCATGTAAAAAATATCATTTCAAACTCACTCCAGTTCATTTCAATAAATATTCAAAATGTCTATTATTCACTTCCTGCCAATAATAAAATCTGCTCCCATATTTTGAAATGCAAGCACCTTCGTGTATATCGTATACTTTAGATGTCACGCATTACCTCAGATACATCTAGAGGCTTCATATCAGGTGAACTAGTAGACTCTTTAAGAGATCACGTTTGGCTGTCTACCGGTTTAGAAAATAGTCAAAATTGAATGCCCCACTCAAAATATTTTCAAGATAAATATTGAGGCTTTCGCTTCTTACTGGAAAGCAGCTATGGATTTTATGTTTGAATGAAATTACAATATACAGGGTGATTCAAAAGTACTTTGACAAACTTCAGGGGGTGATTCCTCACAATATTCTAATATGAATAGTCTAAATAAATAAATGTCCGAAAACGCTTCGTTTCCAAGATACAGGATGTTGAAGTTTCATTTTCGTTTTTTTCAAATAACTTTTGAAATACTGAACTCAATTAAACGAAACTTGGTAATAGAAGGTTTTTGAGGTGTCGAATTCGAACCTGATGTTCTTATTGCTCTTACTCGTAGGGGGCGCCACCTACACGTCTTTTTCTTTTTTAAAGATTCATAACTTTTTTGGGCGTACTTCTAGCACATTTTTCAGTAAAAAAATCGATACCTCTATCATATCTACGTAAATAAGCTACCCTTGTTACTAGTCGCTGTAAGCAACTGTTTTCTAAATATTTGGACTCGAAAACTTCAAGTCGATTATTTGATAATCGATGTATGTTGAAGTTATTAGGAATATTTTGCTTTTTTCTGTTGGGTACGTACTGTTGGGTACGTTCTTTTATGACATCCTCAAGCATTTTATTTCAAGAAATTTTGAATATGTAGAATAAACTAAAATAAACGAAACTGAATTGTATTCAAATAAATTGTTGGAAGTGTCCACCTTCAGCGAAAATACAGGCAGTCAGCCGTCTAGTATTTGAATCTCGTACCCGCTCAAAAATTATTGGTGTGTTTCTTATTGTTTCACAGGCGTCTACTATTCGGTTTCTTAGATCTTCCTCGTTCACTATTGGATTCTTATAAACTAGTGACTTCAAATGTCCCCAAAAATAAAAATCTATCGGGTTTAGATCTGGGGACCTTGGTGCCCTTCTACACCCCTACCGATCCATCGATTTGGATAGACTACAACGCTAAAATGGGCCGGAGTCCCATCATACATAAACCACATGCGGATACGAATTTCTAATGGTACATTCTGAAGTAGTCCCGGCAATTCATTTTCTAAAAAGTGTCTGTAAGTTGCGCCATTCAGTCGGAGCGGAAGAAAGAAAGGACCTATCAAGTAATTATCAATTATTGCCGCCCATAAATTTACAGAAAATTGATACCGATAATGCCTTTCACTAACTGCGTGCGGATTTTCGAGAGCCAAACATAGTTGTTATGAAAGTTTGTGGTAGTATTTCGGGAGAAGTTTGCCTCGTCCGTGAAGAGTACATATCTTAAATATTGAGGATTTCCAGCCAATTTTCTCAAAAATCATTGACACATAGTAATGCGTTGGGGAAAGTCTCGTGGCAAAAGAGCTTGTACCCTTTGAATATGGTATGGATAAAACTGTTGATCGTGGATAATTCTCCAAACTGTGGACTGGGTAGAATTGACAGCTTCAGCAATTACTCTTGTGCTTGTTTCTGGATTCTCCTCGAGAGCGTTCAAAACAGCTTCTTCCAATTCTGGGGTTCGGACTGCTCGTAGTCTTCCGATAATATCAGCTGCCCTCTTAAAGCTACCTGTTTCTGCCAAACGACGGTGGAGACTAGCAAATGTTGGAGCTGAAGGCAGTACTCGATTAGGAAATCGCTCCTGGTAAATACGTTTTGCTTCGCGCGCATTGCCATCCGCAAGTCCATAAACAAAATGCATATCGGCTAAATGAGCATTATTGTTTAAATAATCCATTTTTTCAAAATAAGTGTTTTCTACTTCTACTTACGGAAACTTCAACAAAACGTCTAACTGTCACAAAATATGTAATTACCAAAACTACTCACAAACGTCAAATTTATTTATAAAGCATTAGTGTGAAAAATGCAAAATATTCGTAATAACTTCAACATGCATCGATTATCAAATAATCGACTTGAAGTTTTCAAGTCCAAATGTTTAGAAAATGGTTGCTTACAGCGACTAGTAACAAGGGTAGCTTATTTACGTAGATATGATAGAGGAATCGATTTTTTTACTGAAAAATGTGCTAGAAGTACGCCCAAAAAAGTTATGAATCTTTAAAAAAGAAAAAGACGTGTAGGTGGCGCCCCCTACGAGTAAGAGCAATAAGAACATCAGGTTCGAATTCGACACCTCGAAAACCTCCTATTACCAAGTTTCGTTAAATTAAGTTCAGTATTTCAAAAGTTATTTGAAAAACAAACGAAAATAAAAATAAAACTTCAACATCCTGTATCTTGGAAACGAAGTGTTTCCGGACATTTATTTATTTGGAAAATTCATATTAGAATATTGTGAGGAATGACCTCTTGAAGTTTGTCAAAGTACTTTTGAATCACCCTGTATACTTACAGTAAATATGAGTTCGACACGATAAATTAAACATATAAACCGGTAACAACAAATAAATACATGTGTCTGAAATTTTTTCGTTTGAGAAAAGTCGTACCTTCACTTAAATGTCATTTTTCGATGAAGCGTGGTGATTTGATAGGATAATCATCAATTCTGGAAAGAGATTTATTGACAAATATGATATTCATGATTGTTATGTTCTTGGTGTAGTTCCAGTAGCAGACTATATGTGTTACTAATATTCTCAATGTCATGAAAATGTATCAATCAATAACTTTCTTTTTATAATTTATGATTATCCTGTTAAATCAACATGCTTCTTTGGAAAATAACATTTATATGGTGGTACGACTTATGTCGAACAGAAAATACAATACGCAAAATGTACAAAGAAGATAGAAATTAAAAAAGACTAGTGTATGTAGAATATGTAATTTTGCATACTTTGGGCTGAAATAGAATACATTCAATAAAAAGTACTGAGCCTTATTTGGAAATTACAAACAAGCAGCATAACTGTCCAACCAAAATCGGGTGACACTTTCATAAATTGATTTTCTACCTAGTTGAACTTATCATTATTCAGTTAACTAGTTTAGTGATCCAATAATTTTTCTAAAAAAAGGTTGGTTGGGTAACAGGATCAATTTTTTCTTAAAAAAACAATTGTTTTCTTGCCGCCCTTTCGAATTCAATTAAATTCAAACCTTTTTTCAGAATTATCATTATTGTTCACAGTGAAAAATTGATAGATCATGTGTCAACTTATAAAATTATGACAGATCAAATAATATTCTAATTTAATCTTAACGAAATTTTCATCGGGCACATTAAAAAATTGACTTATCCGACTTCTGACTATCACAGAACAATTTTTTTAATATAGTAAATAACCTTACTGAAAAAATGAAAAAGTAATAGATTTTGTAGAGGAAACTCTCAAGTTTCTGAAATCTTATTCATGAGTTTCAATAGCTTTCCATAAAAATCATCGAAATTCCTTCCATAGAAGAAGTCACTATGGGCATAGTTGACGAACTGAATTGATGTAGGAACTTCCCTAGATACTAGCATATCGTATGCGATATTTACATCCTACAAGAAAAAAAAAGCATTATTGAATAGAAATATGTTTTCGAATCATATCTACTGACAAAATTAATTCGATTCATCCGTTACCAAATTCATTCACACGGGAATGAATTCATTCCTATGGCATTTCAATGGAATTGAATCACTTCTTTGAGAAATTTGGGGAGACCGGGGTTGGAAGTCACATTTTTTGTCTTTTGCATTTTCAGTGTCCTTTTTTATAAATCGTTAATGATATATTTTATCAGTAGATAGTGTTTTCATACTCATTTGAAAAAAAAAAATTCCAACATCATCCTTAGAGGATATATAACAATTCCTACGGAAAAGAAAAAGTGTGACTTTCAACCTCGGGCCGGGGATCGTTGTCACAGTATTTGGCTAGTCACATAGGTGAATAACGGTAATTAAAAAACAATCAAATGAATATTTTCATTGAGAGTGGAATAATATACATGATTGATTATATCTGAAAAGAGGAAAAAGTGTCTCATTTGTAGGAAAGAAACATATTTGCTCCAAATGAATAACTTCCTTCTGGTAACTGAAATACAGAAAATATCCGTCAGGCCGCAATTCTTGTAAACTAAAAATACCCATCCTAGCAAAATTATATTTAGTCAGTCTAAAACTCAGTGGATATAAGGAATCACAATTATGGTAAATGTAACCTGGTAGCCTGGTATGGCAAATGTAACCTGGTGAATGTAACGCTTATTTTCGAATATTTTAGAGAGACGGATCGAAATAAATACTTGAAGTCATAAGTATGTGTCTTTCTGATACGTTCTTCTATTTGTCGGTGAAGATTCGCCTATACCTTTGACAACCAATTTTTGTTGATGGTATTGATAAAACCGTGCTGCTTATCACTTCGACAGTGAGTTTTTTGCAATACCGTGTCAGAGTGCGATAATATTTGATCACAAAATCACTTTTTGTGCAGCACACAGTATCACTGTGTGTAATACTATTCGATCAGACTCCATCATACGATGCTATGACATTTTTGTGATTTTTTCTGAAACAAACAAAATTGTTTGTAGCAGAAGCTCAAAAAGCCAACAAAAAATGTAGCCCACATATATGGTGTTGTTCGTCACATATGACTATCAGTCCACGTCAAGTTGCAGTAAATCATTAGCTGTCGCGGGCCGGATTGATGACACTGGCGGGCCGAATTTGGCCCGCGGGCCGTAGTTTGGAGACCCCTGGTATAGTGTAACAGAAACTGTAAAAGTACTTGTTTCAGATACTCACCTCTTCTGTTGCTAAAAAGTCTTTGGTTCCGACAAAGAAATGTGTAGGTATCCGATTTATATTGTTCTCGTAGAAAGGAGGATCACTTGTATTGTATTTTAGAATGTTGTCGTTTCCATAATCATACATTCGCAACCTTCCTACAGTTATGCACTGCGCAAAATGAACCAAGGTTTTCACCGATACGGCTCTTGGAAAATAATCGAAGAAAAGTGGAAGAAGATCCTGAAAATTTAAATTACAATTCACTTCATATAATTTGCGTATGAATATCTATAAACATTGATGATGATATTTATTCATTTAGAAATTGAAAAAAAAAATTAAAAACATAAAAACAAATAAAAAAATTAAAAAGGTTTCGAACCAAGTGATTTCACGACGATTTGATTGTTACTATCGACAGTCGTCTTCGGGTGATGACTTAAATATACTTTTTTCTCTACAATCATAATCGAAAGCTTTGGAAAGATTGAAGAAAGAGGCTGCTAATCAAATTCTCAAGAACAGTTTTTCACCGCCTGAATTATGGAATATTTATTTTATTTTTATTCATTTCGTGCACTATTCTACAAGATGAAACCAATTACAGAATAAGGAGTAACAGTGGCATTAACAAATACGTACTTACATAATATAATTTGTGAATTTATATTGAAAAAAAGTAAAACAGTACTGTCAGTAAGCTAAGAAATGTCATTTGATTTGTATAATCTGGTAGTGGAATACATCCAGGACATATGACTAACAAAATTAGAGGTATCGCATATTGTATAAATTGGATATTTTTTCATTACATTTGTACGCGGAGTGTTGAGATAAAATATGACACTATACCTAAATGGAATCTAGGAATAGAATTCTGAAAATTCAACATATGTAACAGTTGAAAGCAGATGATGATATTGTTTATGACCTTGAAAAAATAAAGAAATAAATAATATTCACGCCTTACTTCGAGACTACAAAAATTGTAAGTTACAAGAAATTCATAATAGGGTATTCCCACAGTAGTTTTGAAGACATATATTTCAGATAGCGCCTCTGTAGGGCTTCTAGTTGATTTATATGAACCTGATATTAGGGACTCCACACGACAGACGCATATTCCAGCCTAGATCGAACAAATGTGAAATAAAATAATTTCAATGTTGAAGCTTTTTCGAAGTCTTTTGTATTTCTAACTAAGAATTCATATATGCGATAAGCTGCTCTTAGAGTTGTGTCAATATGTTTATTCAAAGAGAGGGATTAATGAAAAGTAACACCTAGATCAGTGAGTGTGTCAGGACGCTCCAGAACTTGATTGTTTATGACGTCGTTGTGTAAAGTCAAGTTCGTTTTCAGTGGATAAGACATTACATTACATTTGGATAAGTTGAGATTTTTTCGACACCATGTAGCAACGCGATTTGAATTCAGGGGGAGACGTTTGCAATCATTAGAACATGTTAAATTGTGATAGAGTTTCAAGTCATCTGCGTATAAAAGGAAATTGACATCAATCTCAGTTCCGATATCACTAAGGAACATATTGAACAGTAGGAGTCCTAGATTTGATCCTTGTGGTACACCAGACGTGGCTATATATTCGATAGACTTCATGCCATTGACTTGTACGTACTGCTTACGGTTGTAAAAATACGATTTGAAGAGGATAATTAATTCATTGGATAACCCAAAAGTCGAAAGCTTGTTGAGCAGGATACTATGGTCAAGTATGTCGAACACTTTAGAAAAACCAGTGTAGATGACATCAGTGTGAGACTGACAATCAATACCCTCTGCAAAACATTAAGTGATTGTTATAAGATTGATGGTGGTTGAACGTCCTTTCATAAAATCGTGTTGATTGGGGCTAATAATGTTGCTGACATGACAATAGATTGCCTTTTCTCTTCACAATAGTGGCATACAGTACAGTACAGCATAAAGTACAGTTGATATTTTCAGGCATATATAAATTAGAGTTGTAAGTGGTTCAACCAGAGCTGAGGCACAATCTGAGGCACAATGATAAATGCTGGAATATGATCACGTCTCGCAGTGAGGTTGGGCTTTAATTTTTTCAGGGTATGATAAACATCTTCAATACTAAAGTTTTTGATTACTAAGCTGGGAATATCACTACTTTTGTTCACATGGTCACTTGATGTTGACACTATATAAGAACCACTGAAGAAATCTGCAAAACCATCAAGAATATCTGAGGGATCATCTAGTAGCTTGCCTTCATGTAACATTTTATATCCGATTCGATTCGTTTATTATGACCAGAACTTATTGGGATTATGGATTATCTCGCTCTCAGTTTTCTGAATGAATTTTTTACAAGCTATTCTAATGGCTCTTTTGATTTCTGCCCGGTGACGTTTTAATTCGTGAAAAGTGTGAATGTCACCGTTTCTTTTGTATTTACACCAAAATTTTGTTTCAGTTCGAATTTTCTTTATCAATACACCATCAAAGTAGGCTGGATATTTTTTTTTGATTTCATCAAAAATTTTGGCATGCAACGATCAAATACACTGTATAATCTTTCATAATATTCCCGGCAAAATCCAAAACACCCACCATCCAGGCTGTTATGTTTCAAAAGAAACGTCATCGAACCTTCCTCTAATATTATTTGAACAATTATACCACATACAGGTATAATAAATAGGGAACAGTGGTTATCAGCAACATCCTTAGCAATATACTGATTAATGAGGCTGGTTATAGATTCAATTAGGTTCAAAACCAGCATTTTTCTCAAATACTAGAACTTGACGCGTCTTCTTGAAATAATACAAATTTGGATCTTCAACTGATTTCAAAGATGTATTGATCCTTCATCAAAAAGACATGAATGTGTGTGTATCTCATATCCTCAAGGGTTTGAAATATTCATTATTGTTTTTCTCAAAAAATCAACCTTCTGCTAACGTGGATTTCAAAAAAGGGTTATTTCAAAAAGTTTTCATATTTTTTTTCGTTACATTCAGCTGTAATCTGTTGCCCTGTTGAGAAATGTCAATCATGACGAAAACAAATAATTTCTCAACCAAATATTTGAACATCGAAAAATATAAAAACAATCATAACCAATGAAAAAGAAATCCCATTTGAATTTGATATCAGCGTTCCTATTTTTTACAAAAATGAAAGTGATTAAAATGTATACAATACCGGACGTGCTTCTTCCAATGCCAGACCACTTGACAGAATAACCGATAATTCACATAATATTATGCCTGGATATGTTCCACAGAAAGTACTCGTAAAACGGTTCAATACTGGCTGATAACCTAAAGCATATATTCCTAATGATTTCAGCACAGACTGAAACAGAAATAAAATGAAATGTATATAACGATTATGATAATAAAAGTCTTCATTACTACAACCACAAACAAAATCACAATATTTCTAACTACATATATAAAGTACTAAAAGACAAAGTTGAATTTTCGCAGCTATGCAAATAACTGTTATATCAAATTTCTTCCATATTTCATCAGTTCGGACTTCCATTGTCTAATATTATATAAATTGATCTGAAATTCCTGAAAAACTATTATGAAGATTAACCGAAAATAACAATTTTATTCGAACAAAAAAACTGAAATTACAAAGAAATAACATAAAACCAAACAACAACCACAAAAATGAAAATTGAAAAATAATAAAAGCTGATAATTAAAAATTATTATTAACAAAAATGAAAAATAGAAATAAAAATTGAAAGATTTCAAACCAAGGTATGTCACGACTTTTTGATTGTTAGTATCCACAATCGTCTTCGGGTTATAACTGGAGTCCGAGATCCGACTATTTATAGGCCATTCGCTATCACCTATTCCCTCTTCTCTCTCCGCTCCATTGGTTTTTAGCGGGAGATGACCGTTTGGCGGGAGATGGTCGCTTTTCCTTTGATTAGAGGTTTCCATATGTTACGTATCTCTACGCTAGCTTGACTAAATGCGTTGTTGGACAACATATACGCGGTTTCTTTTGATTTTCTTCTGAACCAGTGTTCCTCTTGATCCCAAACATGCTCTGCTATTCAGGATTTGCTGGTTTCTCCTCGCTGTGTGTGTTTCTTGTGCTCAGCAATGCGAAATTTCAATGGCCTCTTAGTTTCACCGATGTATGATTCTCCGCACTCGCAGGGTATCCGGTAAATGCAATTCTTGGAATCGCATTCCGCGTTTGGCGGCCTGGTTTTCGTGAGGCTGCTACGGATAGTGTTCCCAGATCTGAAGCAGGTCGTGATGTTATACTTGGACCCAATCCTTCGTATCCTTTCCGATAATCCTCTGATGTAGGGAAATACAAGTACTGTTTGTGGAGGCTTCTCTTACTTGTGGAGCTCTCGCTGTCTTCTAGCTAAAGCCTGTTCTACCATCACTCTGGGTAACCATTCCGTTGAAGGTCGTTTTTGATGATGCCAGTTCCCTTTCGAGACCTTCCTCTGTATTACAGAGCCCGAAGGCACGGTCTAGTAAAGTCTTGATGATTCCTCTCTTAGTCGATTGATGGTGGTTGGATTTCTGGTTCAGATACTGTTCTGTGTGGGTGAGTTTTCGATATACAGAGGTTTCCCATTTAGTGTCGGTCCTCTTCACCAATACGTCTTAGGAAGGCAATTCGTTGTGGACTTTCTTTTCCATTGTGAAAGTGATGGAAGGACTAAGTTGTTGATGTGCTTTAGGAAAGTGTCTAGGTCTGTATTTCCATGGTTCCATATTATGAAGGTGTCGTCTACATATCTCAACCAATATCTCATAAATTTTTTTGACAATGTACTAATTAAATTAATGAGGCGTCAATTATATCAAATGAGAGATTGGCTTATTTGAACATTATAGGAGCCATGAGAACAATACCAACCGCGGCAATGGAAATAATTACTGATCTGACATCTCTGGACCTGTACGTTAAGGAGGTTGCGTTAATGGCCATGTCACGATTGTGCACGGCTGGTTCAAACCTCGAAGTAGGAATGGGTAAATTGAGGCTGAGCCTAAGGCGACAGGCGCTCACTGGGCAACCTCTGCTGCAGGCAGCCAGTGATGCAACTGAAGCCAGGTTTGTATTTATTAAACCCTACAGAATACAAATAAAACAGAACACAAAGCCAGATGCTACAATTGCAATACGTATATATACAGACGACTCAAAAACCAGGATGTGGAGTTTACTCCAGATCACTAAGCCTAAGGATTGAGTGGGGAATGGGAAAAATACCAGCGTGGTTCGAACGGAACTGGCTGGTATCTCAATCGCTACCAAAGGAATAACCAGGAAAGAAATTTCTGGCAAAGGTAGTAGACAAGTCCTATTAGCCTTGAACAGACAGCGTGTTACTTCAGGGCTAGTGCTAGAGTGCCACCAAGATTTAGCCAAAGTCTCAGTAGATAATAACATTTTACTTAGGTGGGTTAAAGAGTACGACAGGAGTAAAGGTAATTGTATTGCCGACTCTTGAGCCGAGGAGGCAGCTGGACTAAGAATTTTGGGACCCAGTGAAACCTACGGCCTGATGACTTCGACAATTGTGGAACTAGCCAAACGTCACAGCTATGCTCGAACCCTAAAGAGATGGGATTGAATCAAGGGATGCAGTTTTGCCAGGATCACCCTGGGCGACCCTGGGAAGCTGGCGCCGTAGAAATATTTGGCGATGACCAGGAAAAACCTCAACAGTGGGATTTCTGACTGGCCACTGTCAACTGAGGAAACACCTCCATATTATGTGGCTAGTGGACACACCTCTATGCAGGATGTGTGAACAGGAAGATGAAACTGTCAGGCATATGCTATGCGAGTGTACGGAGTTATCGTCAATAAGAGAATGTGTGTTCGGCGAGTCTTGGCCTACACCTGCCGATATAAAGGAGATGTCTTTCAGTGACCTGTCCACCTTCCTGGATAGGACAGGATGGACGATGACCTAGGAGAACAACTCCTCGGGAGGATGTACAATAGGTCACATGTGGCCTAAGTGCTGTGGGCTTACACTCACCCTCCCTCCTCTACAGATACGGAAGGCGTCACTTTTTGATTTTTCAAATGGGATATCAATCAACTCGTTGAAAGAACATACAACAACTTTCACAGACTATAATTTGATCTCTGAATCTGATGATAATACTTCATCCACACCAGAACTGAAGTAAAAAAGCATCTGAGGATGCTGACTTGTTTAGCGAAACGCACATTGAGAGACAGTTCTGATTTAGAAAAAGTGTTTTCATTGGTTAAGATACCATAAGAACTTTCATATTTACTTACCTCTACTAATCCAGTGAATGGAACCAAGAGTGGTGTCACACCTTTGATATTCTGCGAGTATATTATTGGAGATAACAAGATAATTCCTTTCAGATGCGCAGAAGCGTGTTCATTCATCGAGTTCGAATAAAGATGGGCTATGGTTGTTCCCATCGAATGTCCTATATAGATGATTTTCTCTCTATAATTTGTTCTCCTTGAGATATATTCTGTTATTGCAGGAAGATCTAGGAATGCCATTTCATGAAAGCTGTAACGAAACATAATCCAATTTCATTAGTGTTCATTGAAAATATTCTGATGAAAAAAAAAAATTGAAAAATTACCATATTCGTGATCTTACGAACACAGTGAACATACCAGTAATACGAGTTTAGTGCCAACACCAAACCGGTTTCTTTAACATCTCGACACGCGTCTTCATCACCAATTTCATACAATATAGTCCTTATTTATGACAGGTTGAATGGATAACAGGTTCAATTTTCTCTTGAAAAGGCAATTGTTTTCTTCTCTATCTGATAAACTTGGAATGTTACTCAGTACCGAAAAAATTAAAGTGGCCTTCTCATTTTTCTCGAAACAAAAAAAACACCACAAGAAATACAATTCAATATAGTGTACAAATTGAACTGTGGGAACTATTACAAATGATATGTTGGTCAAACCGGGCGGTATCTTAAAACACGAGTTTCAGAACACATGAGAGACTCTAAGAAACTGAATATAGAAAACCTCACAGCTTGAACATGAAAAAGAATATAGACACATGTTTGATTTTGATCATCCAACATATCATCAAATGCGATAGTGAGAAGAGATGTCGATGGCCTTTATACTGTATATTTCAATTTGATGAGTGAAATACCTCAATAAGTTACCCTTTTTCATTCTTTTTCTTTCCGCCATTGATTAAAAAAGAAACACCACGTTATCAGAATCACAGATGAAGCCATTCGTTTGTTTCGTGTCGTTTTGTATTGGTGTTGTCTCGGAAATTTGTTTGTTTTGCATTTTTTTTTCAATATGATTCTATTATTTGTCATGGTTTATAAAATAGTAATGATATCAACACGAAAAACTACTTTTCGGTGAGTAATTTAATTAAGAACCCATTATTTCTTACGGAATTGAAACGATAATGATCGTATAAGTTTTGTGGAAGGTATGTTTATGAAAATTCATTGTTACAGAGCCCTGAAGAAGAATTTAATTCGAAACGTTGGCAAGAAAACAATTGTTTTTCAATAAAAAATTGATCCTGTTACCCAACTGAACTTTTTTCAGAACAATTATTGGATCACTAAACTAGTTGATAGATACCCCTGCTAGGTATCTGCATCTTAATGGTCTTAAATGAATTTTACAATATTGCCTCATGTAACATTCAGGTAAATCTGATACCGAAATGTTATATCAACAAGCTATACAGTATACTATCAGGTATTGGTCCACTATCGTTATTCATGATCTTCCTATGTTTACTTACATCTACACTCTATACTTATTTCTACACTCAGTTGTTGTTAACTTGTCTAACTGATCATAATGAACTGAAGTCTATGGAATGGATTTGTTGTAAAATATGATAGGCGACTGCTGATTTTTCTAGTCTTCTATATTTTAGGTGTGCTAAGGGTTCCTTATATCTTATTTTAAAAGATCTTTCAGTCTGTCCATAATATTTTGCATCGCAGTTCTCACATTCAATTTCATGAATTAGATTTTTCCGAAATCCCGACTTTGTCCTTTGTATTTTCTAGAAGGTAAAAATTCATAGAACCTCCCGACTTAATTAAAAAAGACACAACAAGAACATATTAGAAAAAGGTTAAAAGTGTCATAGTACGAATGACAAACGATATTCGAAAACAACAGCACGAATATAACATTTGATTGTCATTCTAAGATTGTTTTGAGACTAATAGATAAAGCAACATGTCGAATTGATTTAAGACAATTGGGATGCAGATACCTAGCAGTGGTATCTGAGGAATATTATGTATGCAATTTCGTTTAGTCTTTCTCTTGAAGATGATCACTTGGTGATCGAAACACATGTCGAGGTGTTAAAAATAACGGTTTGGTGTTGGAAACTACAGTAATATTCATTACTACACCAAAGGTTCCAAATAGATCATCACAAGTAGTGACACAAAAGTTCACACAAGTTCTCCAAAAACACTCAATTGTAAGATTTTCACTGGACAATTTTACAAAAATGCAACACGTGTTTTGCTACACAATGGCGAAGAAGTCCCCTTCACCTTTATTGCAAAGTATCGCAATTTACAATTTCGCAAAACGCTACAGAAAATCAGAAAATTTTCCTAACATTTTCAAACAATATTTTTCTATTTGAATTAATGCATTGAGAATTCGTGAAAATTTGGTATGGAATTCAATTCATTTTCAGGAGTATTTTTCATGAATTCAGACAGAATTCAACATTCAAAGTGACCTAATATTTGACCATATATCAAGTACTGTCGAAAAATATCTTAGATATTGAAATACGTTTCTGAATAATATGAGTACTTTAACGGTTATTTCCGAACTGACTTACCTGAAATCCCAGTATTCTGTATCTAAAACAGTTAGTTTCTTATGCCGATCGGAGTAAGTTCCACCTCTGATTGTCGAAAGCCATACATCATATCCATTTCTTGACAAAACAAATGCTAAAAGAAATCAAAACTAACTATTCTGTGTGAGAGCTAGAATACGAGAATCATGTGCCTAGAGTAAGCGCAGTGAGCCAAGTGTGACAGCCTTCTGCATATGTCCGGCTAAGATTTCTGCCTTAGTGCGACAAGCCGGCATGATTTTAAAATTCAAGAGCAGAGAGGCCATCATACCACCAAGGACAGAGTGGTCTAGATAGACTCTGCGGAGTTTGAAGAAAACATTTCAATATTCATTCGTTTTTTTCTCATGGGGGTGGAAAACGAATAATTTCAATAAAAATGGTACTTTTCATTTCCCACAACAGATTCAATAACCTCTGGAGCGTAGGGCGTGATAATGAAGCATTCTTAGGGCCGTGTTATATCGATGGATATAGGCCGAGACCGCATATGCTGGACATGCGGACAGCAAGTTCATTAGCTTTTGAAACGCCTCGCGGTAGGCCCTGCACCTTGTGACAGGAACCTCCATTTCCATCACGCGACTGCAGCAGGTCATAATGAACCTTTCAGTTTTCGACTGCCGCCCACTCGACCTGGCGCTTTGCTAAGCCAAGGTTGGGTTGGGTTGGGTCTGAAGTTAGTGGGTGTATTCGACTGTCCACCGCAACTCGCAATGGTGAGTTTTGGTTCATGCCTATTCAAACTCGACAAAATGAACCCAGCTTCTTAACGAAGATGGAGTATGGCTGTGCCGAACTCTAAAACCCTGATTCGGTCCTCAGCGGGGCAGACACAAAGTATATGCTCTTCCGTTCCATCATAATCCAAACAGAGGTGACACACACTGTCTTCCGACAGTCCGAGTCTCTGCATATGATGATTCAAATGACAGTGACCAGTAAGAAGGCCTGTTAGAAATCGTAGTTGATCCCTACTGTAGTCCAATAACTGTTTGATATCAAACGTCGAAGGGTTGATAAACGTCTTGGAGTGAGCCAATCCTGGAAGATTCTGCCAGAACTCCATAAACCTTCTTGCCATCCAGGTGTTCAATTTCTGTTTGGCAAAGTCTAATGCGATGCCAATGACAGGTTCTGCTCCGATGAAGCTGCTTGCAGTACCCTCCTTTGCAGGAAAGTCAGAAGCCTCATTGCCTTCCAGGCCAGTATGGCTAGGAATCCAGACCAGAGACAATCTGTTGAGTCTTTCTATCGAGGAGAGTCGTTTTTGGCAAACTTGCTACCAAGTTGGAGCCAAGAGCCTCCAACGCCGCTTGACTGTCCAAACATATCAATATTGACTTGTGTATGAGGTTGAATTCTCCCAATCTCTCCGCACACAATTCAATAGCGTGAATTTCCGCTTGAAATAAAGTCGCATAGGTTCCTAGGCAGGTAGATATCTCTGTCATGGGTTTGCGACTAAAAACACCTGCACCAGAACTGAAAAGTGTTTTTGATCTATGAACCAACAACTATTTGCACTTAATGTTTCCTTTTCCCGAAGGATCCATTCCTCTCTACTCGGGAACAGTACTTCATAAGGCAGTTCGTATTTCAGAGATCATTTCCAGAATGCTGTGACTTCCAATGTCAGCCAACAGTCTGTTGCACTCTGCATTAAATTCATTTGTGCAATTGGCAATGTGCACAAGTCTATATGAAGTCCTTCTAGCCTCTTTCTTCAGAAAAATGTGGAGAGGACGTAGGAGTTGAAGGATATCCATGGCCGCTGACGGTGTGATACTGATGGCACCACTGATAGCCAGACAAGCCTGTCTCTGTGAGCCAGAGAGCTTCGCTTGGGCCGTTTCCTGTAAAGCCTTCGGCCACCAAGCAATTGCACCATACGTGATCATTGGTCTGACAATCATCACATAAAACCAATGGATTTGTTTGAGACCTAAAACCCAAGTTTTTACCACAAATCCATCGACATGTCCATAGAGACAGTCTGGCTTTGTGTAAAACTTTTTCCAAGTGAGCGTTCCGGTTGAGTTTCTTATCAAGGACAATGCCAAGATATTTCACCAAAGGGAATGACCTCACCATTGAGGAAAAGTGGCGTTAGATCATCCAATTTCCTCCTCTTGGTGAAGGGTATTTTCACAGTTTTGCTGGGGTTTACAAACATTTGCTTCCTCAGCCACTAACTGTAAACAACTTCCAATGTGCTTTGGAAGATATTACAAGCTACGCTTCCCGACGTGAACTTTGCCAAGATGACGAGGTCATCTGCATGATCTTGCAGATCTACTTTTCTTCTGTCGAGGGCATCAAGCAAATTATCTATCAGGAGCGACCACCGAAAGGGAGATAGAACTCCACCTTCTGGGCAGCCCCTGGTGATAAGCCAAGGTCTTCAATGTTGTTGAAGAAGACCCATGAATTGGCTTATCCTTGTTTAGCCGTGGGTATGAAATGATATCTGCGGCTTTTATATGCAACTTCTGCTGAGCAGGTTCCAACTTGGTGACAGAATTATTGTGATTATCTCGTTCGATGTCGGAAATTCAACCACGTCCACCAGCTGTTCGGGCAGCTGGCTTGAAGAGAAATGCTCCTATCCGAGCTCTCTCTCTCTCTCTCTCAGATCGCGGACCATCCAGAGAAGAGGATCCAATTTCCTGATGACTATCATTATTATCATTAGTATCACTAAAGTTGCAGTAGTATCCAACTTCGACACGATTTTACTTTTATCCCCTTTCTTTCAAAAGTACAGATTCAAATTGGAATTGCTCTGTATTCACAAAATGAAATTAATATTATCGAAATCTCCAGGTTCAATCAAATGGTTCGAAATGAATAGAGTTTCCTCATAATATTTTGTTATGAATATGATGAATTCAGCCATATTATCGACGAAACTGTCCAAGATTTTTCTAAATTTTTGAATCAAAAGCAATTCCACCACAAAATGTCTACTTCAAAATGTAATTTATCGATGGAATCATTCCCATGATTCATGGGAATGAAATGTCTCATCATTCAGTTGATAAAATTAATTCAATTCGAGAAATGATACCTATTTTGTTCTTATATTGATGCATTCAACTGAGAATATTTCAGGAAATAATTTTTACGAATACCATGTTAATTTTTTTGTACCCAAACTCTATTTTTGAGCAATACCAATCGACCAATTGACCGTCCTACGGATTTGTGATTTTATCATACTCTTTGCTCTCGTGGTATTGCTAAATAACAAAATTTTGTCAAAAAATGGAAATTTATTGATGAAATTTTGAGTACTTGTGGTATTACTTTTGTTATTAATCAGACAGCCACAAATTATTCGTAATCGAAAGCGGGACGACTTCTATTCAATCAATTCATGTATTCATACCAATCGAGTTATAACTCTGCAACAACCAAATAACAGCGGTTCCACCTATACCGTGTTGTAGTAAAACTGGCTCTCTTCTTGATCGTAGTTGAATGTGGTCTGGAGATATTCTGTATAGAGTGAGAATATATTCATCTTTTGTGATTATCGTGTGCTCTTCCAAATGATAGCCATTCCTTCGGGCGATCTCAACCTAAGCAGAGAATTGAACAATCAATCAGGGTATTCCGCGTGAAATAACGATAATTACATGTCACACAGTAGCTCAAAATATTTTACATCATTGCAATGAATAATTTACATTCGTCACAGAAAAATGAAAATGCAAATATTTTTTCAGCCTATACCGTATACATGATCATTTCTTAATTCAGAGCAGAAAAGTAGTATTTGTACCTAGTTGGGATGACTAGCTCTGAATTGTGAGTGCTGAAAAGGATCACCAAATTGAAAGTTCTTATTTGGACGTCATCTACAGAAATATCCAGAAATACTATACCCCTGTTCTACACTTTTCACAAGACATACTTGGTTACAGTGGGATGGAAGATACAATCAATCAATCAATCAATCAATGTATCTGCTTATTATCAATATAACAGATTTAGCATCGTCAAGGTAGATGAATATAATACAAAACATACACATTGATACATACACATTAAAAAGGCAAAGCATTAAAACTTGCAGTCGAAAAATTCACTTTTTTTTTATTAAAGTAAGAACTAGAGCAACCGAGAATTTAAATATCAAAATACCTCTCTACAAGGAGAGCCATACACAAAGATTCGTGTTTTATTATGGTCCGATATTATACAACATACCCCCAGTAGAATTGAAAATTATCAAAGGAATTAATAAATTCAAACAAAAGCTCAAACAATTCATAATCGAAAACCCTCAAAAATTTGACATATACTAAAAAAAAAAGAATAAAAAAAGAATTTTACACATTGAATAGCAGTTCCTATACCATTTGTATATTGTATTTTATTTTGTTTTGTTTTTGTTTTCTCAGAGTTTGAAAAAAAATGTTTATTTTATTTTTTTCTCTTTCTCACTGATCGTATTACCATGGATTATTATAATATTATCATATTTTTTTATTATTTTATAAAATGTACTTACGGAGCTCTTATCTTGGTGAGTAACAGATCACAATACAGGCATTTCAATGTCTAGGTGAAAGTTACTCATTCAAGATAATAGAAATTTATTAATTATGTATGTCATACAACAAATTGTATATTAACATGGAATGAATAAATTTGATTTGATTTGATTTGATTAACCTTGGGAGCTGTCTGACTTGTCCATTTAATCCAAGTCTCCAGGAAACACTGCAGCCTCTTGGGCTTATTGCTTTTGTTCTCCCATCTTCTCATGACACCCATTCCATCAGTCTCGTTCCCTGTACTAGTTTGTACAGGTTCCGTGTTGGATGTTCATCATATTCTTCTGGACGTAATTTCGTTCGTCCATATATTGCCTGCCTCCTGTGATTCAGTGCCTCACATTCGCATAAGATGTGTAGAGCTGTTTCTATCCCTTCGTTGCATAATCTGCAGTTGAGGTCTCCATTGTACAGCCCCATTTTATTCAGGTGTTCTCTGAGTGGGCAATGACCGGTCAGTAGCCCTGTAATTATTCTGAGCCGGTCCCTACTATATTGAAGTAGTTCTTCGGTTCTTTTCTCGGACGGTTCCCCAATGAAGGTTCTACTGTGTTTGTTGCCAGATAATTTTGTCCAGTACTCTGTGTGCTTCTTATTGGTCCATATCCTAATCTGGTTTCGTACCAGTGATTTTGATACCCCCAGAGCTGGTTCAGGACCTATATATGAAGTTGATGATCCGCGTCTAGCGCATTCATCAGCTTTTTCATTACCTGTGATTCCTAAATGCCCTGGCACCCAGTACAAAGTTAATTTGTTCCTGTTTGCAAGTTCATTCAGTTCTTCATGGCATTCCCCGACCAGTTTTGATCTAACCTTCGGGTTTGTCAGAGCCCCTAGTGCGCTCTTGCTGTCTATAAAAATATTGATCCGCTCATTTC